AGCTGATCGATAGACTGATCACCTATCGATCCTTCTTCCCGTCGCCGAGCGCAATCCCAGACGTACCCTTTTCCAGCCGGCTTAATTTGCGGACGGATTAACTGGCTTGGGCCTCGCCAGCTGGAACAACTCACATAGTTGTTCAGACGACCGGACCATCTGCGTCGTAACTACAAGCGGCGTAAGTAAACATTTTTGCAACCATTAAACCTTGTCTGCCTCTCCATTCGCCAGCCCGCCTTAACGAATGAGCAGTTTCTAAATCACCTCGAGTCGGCTCTAGCCGTCCCAGACACCTTCCAACCCTACCTACTCTGAAACTATGAATATGATCAACCATAAAAGGTCAAATGAAGACATCAGAGGCACAAAAGCAGAAACTGTTACATCTCAGTTCAGACTCATTTAACTACATCAAAATAGGGTAATGTTATACCATTCCCAGTGTGCATCATATACCTACTTAAGGTGTTTCTGTGTAAAGTGGTGCTCAACCTTCTGGCTCTGCAGGTCTGGTGGGTGGTGCAGAGCCAGTCCATGGGCAGGATCTGGCACACTGGCTCTGCCTCATGTGTCAGCCCAACACCATGTGTGGTCTAATCTTACATAAGATCCAGCCATTTGCCAGCCTGACCCCACAGCTGGATTCTGCCACGTGCTGGCCCAACCCCACATGCCAGATCCAGTGATACAGTGGTTTGACCTCACCTGCCAGCATGATCTAGCACACAGGACCATGTCATCCTGTCCACAGGGCTCCCCACAGGTCTGGAAATTTGGCAGCAGGGGAGCTAAAAGTAATGCTGCCACCATTCCCCGTCACCAAATTTTTGGATCTGTGGGGAGAGCCACAGGCCTGATGACATGGCTTCATGGGCTGGATGTGGCCCACAGGCCAGAGGTTGAGCACCCCTGATGTATAAAGTTCATCTGTAATAAACTATGGCACAAAAACAGCCATCTTATGACTGGGCTTGGCATAAATATACTCTGTAAAAACCAACACTACCGCAAATCTACATTCTAGCAAAAAACACTCGTAATCTCTTTGTACTAAAGGGAATTAACAATCTCTGCCCAAGTAGGTGCAGAAGGGCCATTGTAAGAATAGAGTTATGGTAACAGATATAAAAAGGCAGAGCTTATTATTTGACAGATAACACCCCTTATGCATCTTCTGTTGTGGAGGTGCTGAGGGAGGGGCCCATTATGAAATCCCAAAGAAGGAGAATAAGAGACCCATTTCCACTGCATATTCCTACTGTGAGTATAGATTATTCTTGTAGAGGCCTATGGAAAAGGTCTGTCGCAATTTTCCCTCCTGTCTTTGGGTTTGTGAAAACATGCCACATATTTCTTAACACAAGATTTATTCTACTGGCTTGATTGTGACTTTGTGATTGATGTGTATTGAGGCTGGCCCTTGAATAACAACAAAAAATAAGGAAACTAAAGCTTTGTTTAAACCAGGGCTGTTCAACTGGTGGCTTGAACACCACATCTAGTCTGTAAGAGGTTAAAATGTGGCCTCAAGCTTCTGCCTGGCTGCCATTCCCACCATTGCTACTACTGCTACTGCAGCAATTGGAACCTCCAGGCTTTTCCTCCCTCCTCCTGCTTCTGCTTCCTGCCCCACTCCTGGGGACAGGGCAGGGCCAGGCAGCAGGAGAGTGCTGTGTGTGTGTGGCTGCGGGAGAGATCTGGGCTGCCTGCCTGGCAAGAAAAGGCCTGGTTTGTCCGTACTCTGGATGTAGCAAGGAGGGACTTTCTGCTGCCGGTGCAGTGGACAGGAGTGGGCTGCTCGCACTGTCCACCTTACAAGGGAGAGCTGAGATGTTCAGGCTGTCCATGTGGCAGAAGGCCACCTCTGTTTCTCCCCAAAAACTCTGCTCTGCGACAATTTGATTAGGATGGGCCCAGCAGAGGAGACACACCTTTACTCTATCTCTTTAGGTAACCTGAGCTGGATACATTCCTGAGGGAGGGAATGTAGGCATTCCCTCTGCCTACGTGACTGGTATCACATACCTGGGTGAGGGGCTTCCTCCCAGGTGGGCTAGAGCCTAACAGTCTGCCTGGCAACTAGTGATGTATTTCACATTGGTTGGCTGACAGCCAACAGGTACTAGCCTCCATTGGACCAGGTAAATGAGGTCACAAGGGCTATATAAGTTAAGGGCTGCCCAGGAGGAGGAGGCAGCAGCCATGAGGGACACTCAGAGACAGAGAAGAGCTGTACCATCTGAAACTTGCTCTCTCTCAAAACTCATGATCAAGGAACTGCCTGCCTCCAGAGGGAATCTCCAGCTGCCTCTGGATGATACTTGTGAGTAAGCTACCTGAGATCTAACTAGATATTTAGCTTGCAGTAACTCAGATGCGTGATCAAAGGCTACCCAGCCAGGGAAGTTTGCTGTATGGGATTTCTCTGATATTGCTCTACCCTGTACCCTATTCTAACCCTACCCTCTGTAACCAATAAAGTTCTCCTTTGTACCTCGTGTGGGAGACTTATTGGGAGTGGGTCTAGATTATGCCTTGGGGTCCCCTTGGTTCGGCTGACTAAGGGAGACCACTGCTTGTGCTTCTGACTGAGGGAAGCATCCCAACTTCTTGAAGTGAATCGAGTACCCTTGAGGGCTACTAGGCCTGTGTTTCCCAGGGCACGCAGAGCCAGAATCAGTCCAGAGCCCTGGGTGGTGGCAGTGGAACGCCCAGGCTAGTGGGTGTGCTCCAGGAAGGGGGTTGGCCAGACGTGAGGCGCCCCCAGGGAGGCACTCAGAGCCTGGAAGGTGGTCAGGCGCAGTGAGGTAGGTGGCTCAACACAGGAGCGCCCCCTACTGGCTTGCCACAGTCCACACAGCTGACAGAAAGCCAGGCTTCCCATGCATCTGGGGTGGGGGGAAATCCATAGGTTGGAGGGGAACACCAGTGGGTGTCTGGGGCCTGCAGGGTATACAACTCCTCGCTATCTTCTCAGCTTTGAATGACTCAGTGTGGTTGAGGGCGAAGGCCTGTCCATTGCACTGCAGGCAGGCTGACCCCTTTGAGAGTCTACAAATCCCTCCAAATGCAAGGATCTTGGCTGTACAATTTATGGCAATGGGGAATTGCTCTCAGACTTCCCCTCTAGCTTGCTCCTTCAGCCTTTTGGCTAGGGGCAAGCGAAACGAGGGGACATCTGAACTCCAATGCCTCAGGGCTTGGGGCTTGCACATGGGATGCCTGCCATGGCTTTGAAAATATCTGAAGCCCGAGGCTGATGAGTCTGGGAAGGAGGATACTTGCTGGTGGTAGCACCACACAGACTTGAACGATTGAGCTCTGCTCAGTTGAAATTTGGAATTTAATTCGGAACTGATCTGGCCCTGGAAACAAAATTTAAAATAAATAAATAATATCTAGAGGTTGGACAGTCATAGTTTCCACTGGAGGCTGCTGCCACTTCAACTACAATGACAGAACCACACAACCAAGCCCCTGGTGTGGACACAACTCTGCTGACAGGAGTTTTACTGCTGACAAGGTTGCCACATTTCCCCCCAAAAATGGAAGCTCTACTGACAGAAGTTGCGTTCTGCCAGAAGAGATGTGTCCACATCAGAGATCTTGCCTACAGAGCTATGTCAGCTGTAGCATGTACATAAGAACGTAGCAACTGCCATTTACTGGGTCAAACCATATGTCCATCTTGCCCAGTATCCTGTCACAGGATGCTGAAAGAGACGGTGAACTGAGTATGACCAGGGTTTTTTTCAGAAACCCCTGGCACACATGCCAGAGCATGGCACATGAGGCTATTTTGCTTAGTATGTCACGGGTTCTGGGTAGCTGCCACCAGCCACAGAGCCCAGGCTGCCCGCAGCATGAGGTTG